TTGGGCAGTATGGCCATTTTCATGATATTGATTCTTCCTATTTATGAACATGGAATGTTTCTTCATCTGTTTGTGTCCTCACTTATTTTGTTGAGCAGTGGTTTGTAGTTCTCCTTGAAGAGGTCCTTTACATCCCTTATTAGTTGTATTCCTAGGTATTTTATTCTTTTTGTAGTAATTGTGAATGGCAGTTCATTCTTGATTTGGCTCTCTTTAAGTCTGTTATTGGTGTATAGGAATCCTTGTGATTTTTGCACATTGATTTTGTATCCTGAGACTTTGCTGAAGTTTCTTATCAGTTTCAGGAGATTTTGGGCTGAGACGATGGGGTCTTCTAGATATACAATCATGTCGTCTGCAAATAGAGACAATTTGGCTTCCTCATTTCCTATTTGAATGCCCTTTATTTCTTTTTCTTGCCTGGCTAGAACTTCCAAAATCTGGAGACAACAGATGCTGGAGAGGATGTGGAGAAATAGGAACACTTTTACACTGTTGGTGGGAGTGTAAATTAGTTCAACCATTGTGGAAGAAAGTGTGGCTATTCCTCAAGGACCTAGACGTAGAAATTCCATTTGACCCAGCAATCCCATTACTGGGTATATATCCAAAGGATTATAAATTGTTCTACTATAAGGGCACGTACACATGAATGTTCATTGCAGCACTGTTTACAATAGCAAAGACCTGGAACCAACCCAAATGCCCTTTGATGATAGACTGAACAGGGAAAATGTGGCACATATATGCTGTGGAATATTATGCAGCCATCAAAAATGATGAGTTCATGTCCTTCGTAGGGACATGGATGAACCTGGAAACAATCATTCTCAGCAAACTGACACAAGAACAGAAAATCAACCACCACATGTTCTCACTCATAGTTGCGTGTTGAACAGTGGGAACACATGGACACAGGGAGGGGAGCATCACACACGTTGGGGGGAAAGAGGAGAGGGACAGCAGGGGGTGGGGAGTTGGGGAGAGAGAGCATGGGGGAAAATGCCAGATATAGGTGATGGGGAGGAAGGCAGCAAATCACACTGGCATGTGTACCTATGCAACAATCTTGCATGTCCTTCACATGTACCCCAAAACCTAAAATGCAATTAAAAAAATAAATAAAAATAAAAAAATAAATAAAACATTAAAAAAATCATTCCAAAAGAAAACTCCACTTCCATATAGTTTTACTTGTGTATTGTATCAAACATTTTAGAAAGTAATACTACCAATTGTACTTCAATATTTCAGAAATCAAATAGGTGGAACCATATTATTTATGGCTAACTTTACTATGATAATAAAACCTAAAAACACATATTACAGGAGAATAATATTATAGACCAATAATACTCCTGAATATAGATGCAAAGACTCTAAAGATATATTAACATGTTGAATTAAAGAATATATTTTAAAGATAATGCATTATGACTATGTTGCATTTACCCTGGAATGCAAAATTAGTTCAGCATTTGAAATCAATGTTATTTACCATGTCAACAGACTAAAGGAGAAAAGCTATCATGATCTTCTCTATAGATGTTTGAAAAAGCATTTGGTAACCATAAATAATAGAACCAACAGTTTATCATCATACAAACCTGAACAATGCCAACAGAATGATAAGGAGAGCACATTGTGGACATAAACGCAAGACCCACAGTTGTTCCAGCAAGTTCTGTGGCTCTGCAAGAAAGGAATAAGTTGATATAACAAATTATGCTTAGCTCTATTTTTATAGGCAATTCATCCAAACCTCTTAATGGTTAGCAGAAAAACTCACTGTGAACCATCACTCTCATATTTTTCTTCAGTTTTTTAATTTGCATAAGGCATTTTTCTGTAGAATGGCTTTTGTATCACTTAAGATCCAAACACCTAGATATAGTCATGTTGCATAGTTTCTGTCACTTCTGATCGTAACACTTTTCATTGTGAAATAGATCCCTTGTGAAGAAAAAGAAAGGCTTTTCTTGATCCTAATGTTTGTGTATATCTTCTTTTGATATTAACATTACCACACATGCTTTGTTTTTATTTATATTTTATTCATGTGTTTTTAAATCATATGCTTTTGTTTTACGTTAACACTGTTTTAGCTACAGGAGGTTTAGAGATTGGGCACATTTTGAAAGCATTTGTATTATTTATCATTAATATTATTCACATAATTTTTATGCTAGAGGGGGGTTTGAATCATTTTCACTTATGTAGATAATGTGTTTTGTCTTTAGTAATTTTAATTTTCCTTTTTGGTTTCTTTTAATTTTTCTATTAATCTTTAGTAATTTCATGCTATTTCCTTATAGTTTCTTGGCTATCTGTACAAGATCCTGGCTCTTACTTGTCTCTAGAAATTTGCAAAGTTTGTATCAAGTTTTTAATTTCCTTAGAAGATGCATTTACTTGGGAAATTGAACCTGTCTTTTCCCATAAAACAATATTAAAAATAATATCAATTCTGCTATCTAAAATGAGAAAATTAGAAAACCAACTTTCCATTTCCTGCAGATTTTATCTCTGTGATCTGATTTCATATACTTATTTAAAAATATATTTTACATTATGCATATTTAAAAGATTTATATCTGTATTCTCTTTTAAAATTATAAAGTTATTTACACTTTATTCTACATTTTTGTGTTTTCAATTCTCCCCACTTGCTCATTTGCAAAATTCTTTTATTTTGGAGTTATCTATTTTGTTACATCTTTTAAGTGAATAGAGTATATTTTGATGCTACCATTTTTACCTACTTACACCCAAATATAGGTATCTTTTGTTAATTTGGTAAATGGTACAACTTGAATTGTGTAACTATAAGAACAAATATTTCCTTTCATTGTATCTTTAATCTGTTTTCATTTTTTTCTGATCTCTTCAAGGAATCTATTCTTGGCATGTATCACCATTTATTTTTACCTATACATTTATCATCTCATCTATTATTTTTAACCTTCTACACTATTACTGTACAGTGATGGAATATTCAGCAATTTGTCTGGCTCTGCTGCCAGGCTCAAGTCCCTCACTACTTACCAGCTATGAGACCTTGGAAAGTCACTAAGCACCCCCGACAAGAATGGGCTCTTGAGTCTAAAACTCGCCTTTCTAAGTTAAGATATTGTATCAGCTACTTTCCAAGATGGCCCCCTAATGAACCAGCCTTGCAGTATTCTCAGCCTGAGCAGTGCCTTCCCCTTTAATCTGGATTGGCCCTACAACTTACCCTTGATTAAGAGACTGTACCAGTAGTGACATCCTGTGACTTTTGTAGTTAGGTCATAAAAAACCTTGATGCAGTCAGTATCTTGTGCATCTTGAAATGCTTATTCTGAGAAAAGCTAGACACCTAGTAATAAGTCCACCTACTCTAAGACAGCCATATTGAAGGAAGCTCAAGTTAGGCACATGAAAGGCGATACAGAGAGAGACATGACCAACCAGATTCACTGTTTCAGCCAAATGAGCCCAGATGCCAGTTATATAGGTGAATAAGCCTTATTTCAAGCCAAGAAATTCTGGGCTCATTTGTTACGCAGTAACAGATGACCAGCACAGAAATATTAACTAATTCTGGCAGGACATAGTTCACTGATTTCCCATGAAATTCGTGGTTTCCTTGGGTAACAGACTCTCCAGTAACTTCAAGTCAATTCTTACTGCTTCCTTCTATCTAATTCCAGCTAAGTATTATCCAGCTATCCAGCAGCATTTTCTTGACTCTTCTGAGGTACATGCTCCAGTCTCATAAAATTTACAGCCATTAGATTTCTTTCCCATATTGTTCTTAACTGGTCATTTCAGCAGGAAGTAAATTAGGGAACATGTGGGGTTACAATATAACACTCAATATTTTTTCTAATAACATCTTAGAGGTTTCTTGTAACTTGAGCCTAAAGTCAATCAGTTCTTTTTTAAACACTGAATCAAAAGCTCTCTTACATAAACTTGTCTTTTCTTCCTGTATACCCAATAAAAACAAACTTTTTGTGAATCATTGCTAAATATTTGGCCCTGTCTTTTCTTCGAAAAAAAGAGAATATTTGGATCCAAAATAAGTACATATTTGACATATAATCCAAGTAAATGCTTTATAAATGTCTACTCCCCTATGTGTACACCTCACTTTGCCAAGGCTCAGAAAAGCTACCACTGAATACCACATAATGTGCAGCGGAGGAAAATCTGTACATACGTGATTAACTGAGCAATATCATGGTGCTTTCTTCTCAAGAGAACATTCCCCCTCCATTTAGAAAAATTTTCCAAGGTGAAGCTTGCATTTGGGGTTATCTTGATCTTATCCTTGTCAGTCCAGATTTCCATACCAACTAAGGCCACATGAGTATTGAGCTTTTTATAAAGCTGTCCAAAGACAATATATGGCAAAGAATGACTTATAATGGTGATATCATTTTTAAACATTTTCAATGTATTTTATATTTTTAAACATTTATAACAGCAGTATATAAAAACCTTGTTTCCAAGCATATCTGTGAAACAGAATGTATCTATTATTTTGTAGATACTAAAACTCCCATTCAAACCAAAAACAGATACACTAAGATAGTTTAGGTCTATAAACTCCTTTTTATGGGGAAAAGGGCCCTATTAAGACAAAATATTCCTTCGTGTGCTCCTAAGAAGTACTTTAATTTTGTGTCAGTGGCCCATGATTATGGCTTCAATTGCCTTTATGTTTTTCAGTGCTCCTAGAGTCAGAATATTTGAGAATTAGCAAAGTTGGCTCAGTGCCAGTAGAGGTATTTGTGACGTAACATGATACAATGAAATGTTGTACATTGGTACATTTACAATAAGCTAAGTAGTTGCTATAGTTTAAATGTTTGTGTCCCCCAAAATTTACATGTTGAAATCCTAAACCCCAAGGTGATGGTGTTATTAGGAGGTGGGGCCTTTGGGAGGTGATTAGGTCATGAGAGTGGGGCCTCTTGAATGAAATACTGTTTTTTCCCTTCTATCATATAAAGGCACAGCGAGAAAGCAGCTGACAATCTTCACCAGAAACCAAATCTTGATGGCAGTTGATTTGGTCTTCCCAGCCCCCGGAACTGTGAGCAGTAAGTTGCTGTCATTTATGAGCTACCCTGTTTATGTATTTTCAGACTGAGACAATGGTCTTCTAATCTTAAACATGGATTGAACCAAATAACCCACAATGCATATGGGATAAACTTTAGAAATAATGAGTTAAGCTTACGACACAATATGCTTACTCTAAGGATAAAAGCTGAAATTACTAATGTAGTTTCTAAAAGTGCACAGTGACAGACATTCTCACCGGCAACTTTCTGCTAAAAACCTTAAATGTTTGTTTTTTTAAAAGATAGTTTGGTAAGCAAGAAAAACCCTTGAGGAATGCAGTTACTGAAAGTGAAGTTAAAAATTCAGCCATGTTATCATCCTTCACTTGATTATTCCCTCAACTTCCTTGTTCCTGTCTTGCTTACTTTTACTCATCTCACAAAACTCCAATCCTGGTTCAAAGCAACTTGCCCCTACATGTCTCCTCTTCCTGCACTTGAACGTAGAGGAAAACACATCGTTTTGATTGCTCACTTTAAAGCTGTGACTGTTAACCTCAAGTAGTCCTTAACACTTTCCAGCAAAATTGCTGTATTTTAAAATCCATTTACATACCGTTTTCTGCACACCTTTATACTCTTCTTTCTTAATAATTCTGACATTTTCTTTAAATCAGACTTTCACAGTTGTCCTTGTTTCCACATTCACTGAGAGTTTAAGAGCAATCTGAAGGGAATGTCCATAAGCTCCCACCACCAGTCTATCTCCTCACCTATTCTTGTCCAAACTCCCTGCACCTCCCCATCTTCTATGTGAATGAACAACCTCTGAGTGTAAGGCCAGTTTCTCCACTCATGTCCTAAATGCCCCATATCTCCCCCACTGAAGATTATTCCAACAATTCTATCTTTCCTGCATTATCACTGCTGAGCCCTTCACAAATTATTCCCATCAGCATAGAAAATAAATAAGTTTTTTTCATGTTAATCACTTCCCTATGTATATGGGTATCAAAATAAGTATATTACAGCATTATGTTTTACAACAAAAAATTAGAGCATTTATAGGATACCACAAAGAGACTCATTCATTTCAAAATAAGTATGCTAACTATATATCCAATGAACAGAAAACTAAGAATTAGTATTTAATATTAAAGACTGTAAACTCATTTTTAAAATATTTTGGAAACTAGAAAACACAATCATGTCTAAAGAACACAGTCAACAGTTGTATGACTCAAATGGGTTTGGAAATCTGACAAATCTATATTGAAACTTCCTGGCTATCCTTTTCTCACTTTGTGATCTTAGACAGGTTACTTTGTTTCTGAGAATATGTTTCCTTAGTTCTACCTTAGGCTTTGGTAATATTTAGGATTGTTCTGGAGATTACATGAGATAATTGTTTATGAAATAAGCTATTGTGACAGTGCTTGTCACTTTTTAATTTTTTTCACCTCTGGACCAGCTTTCTGTTGGGATCTGGTCTCCAGCATTTTCTTTCTTTCGTTTTTTTTAAAGTTTATTTATTTTACTTTAGGTGCATACTAAATATGGCATTTCTCCCCATGTTATCCCGCCCCACCTCCTCTCCCTCCCACTCCCCTCTGTCTCTCCCCTACCCCTCCCAACTGCCTCCAGTGTGTGATGTTTCTCTCCCTGAGTCCATGTGTTCTCATTGTTCAATGCCCACCTATGAGTGAGAACATACAGTGTTTGGCTTTCTGTTCTTGCATCAGTTTGCTGAGAATGATGGTTTCTATATTCATCCAAGTCCCTATAAAGGACATGAACTCATCGTTTTTTATGGCTGTGTAGTATTCCATGGTGTATATGTACCACATTTTCTTTGTCCAGTATATCATTGATGGGCATGTGGGTTGGTTCCAGATCTTTGCTATTGTACACAGGGCTGCAATGAACATATGTGTGCATGGGTCTTTATAGTAGAATGATTTATAGTTCTTTGGGTATATACCCAGTCCTGGGATTGCTGGGTCAAATGGAATTTCTAATTCCAGATCCTTGAGAAATAACCAAACTGTCTTCCACAATGGTTGAATTAATTTACACTCCTACCAACTGTGTAAGAGTGTTCCTATTTCTCCACATAGTCTCCAGCATCTGCTGTATCCAGATTTTTTTATGATCACCATTCTAATTGGCAAGAGATAGTATCTCAGTGTGGTTCTGATTTGCATTTCTTTAATGACCAATGATGATGAGCATTTTTTCATGTTTCTTGGCCTCATATATACCTTCTTTTGAAAAGTGTTCATATCCTTCACCCACTTTTGAATGGGCTTGTTTTTTTCTTGTGTATCTCTTTTAGTTCTTTGCACATTCTGGATATTAGCCCTTTGTCAGATGGGTAGATTGCAAATTTTTTTCCCATTCTGTTGGTTGCCAGTTCACTCTAATGATTGTTTCTTTTGTTATACAGAAGCTCTGGGTTTAATTAGATCCCAGTTGTCTATCTTGCCTTTTATTGCCATTGTTTTTGGTGTTTTAGTCATGATATCCTTGCCTATGCCTATGTCCCAGATGGTTTTGCCTAGGTTTTCTTCTAGTGTTTTTATGGTGTTAGGTTTTATGTTTAAATATCTGATCCATCTGGAGTTAATTCTAGTGTAAGGTGACAGGTAGGGGTCCAGTTTCTGCTTTCTGCACATTGCTAGCCAGTTTTCCCAACGCCATTTATTAAACATGGAGTCCTTTTCCCATTGCTTGTTTTTGCCAGGTTTGTGAAAGATCAGATGGTTGTAGATGTGTGAGTTTCTTCTGGGGTCTCTGTTCCATTCCATTGGTCTATGTCTTTGTTTTGGTACCAGTACCCTGCTGTTTTGATTACTATAGCCTTGTAGTATAGTTTCAAGTCTGGCAGTGTGATGTCTCTGGCTTAGTTCTTTTTGCTTAGGATTGTCTTGGCTATGTGGGGTCTTTTGTGATTCCATATGAAGTTTAAAGTGATTTTTCCAGTTCTGTGAAGAAGGTCATTGGTAGCTTGATGGGGATAGCATTGAATCTACAGATTACTTTATGTAGTATGGCCATTTTCATGATATTGATTCTTCCTAACCATGAGCATGGAACGTTTCTCCATCTGTTTGTGTCCTCTCTTATTTTATTGAGCAGCAATTTGTAGTTCTCCTAGAAGAGGTCCTTTTCATCCTTTGTTAGTTGTATTCCTAGGTATTTTATTGTCTTTGTAGCAATTGTGAATGGCAGTTCATTCTTGATTTGGCTCTCTTTAAGTCTGTTATTGGTATATAGGAATGCTTGTGATTTCTGCATATTGATTCTGTAGCCTGAGACTTTGCTGAAGTTGCTTATCAGTTTGAGAAGATTTTGGGCTGACACGATGGGGTCTTCTAGATATACAATCATGTCATCTGCAAATAGAGACACTTTGATTTTCTCCTTTCCTAATTGAATACACTTTATTATTTTTTTCTTGCCTGATGGCTCTGTCTAGAACTTCCCATACTGTGTTGAATAGGAGTGGTGAGAGAGGGCATCCTTGTCTAGTGCCTGATTTCAAAGGGAATACTTCCAGCTTTTGCCCATTCAGTATGATATTGGCTGTAGGTTTTTCATACATAGCTTTTATCATTTTATGATACGTTCAGTCAATACCTAGTTTATTCAGAGCTTTTAGCATGAAGGGCTGTTGAATTTTATCAAAGGACTTCTCTGCATCTATTGAGATGATCATGTGGTTTTTGTCTTTGGTTCCATTTATGTGATGGATTACATTTCTGGATTTGCATATGTTGAACCAGCCTTGCATCCCCGGGATGAAGCCTACTTGGTCGTGATGGATAAGCTTCTTGATATGCTATTGCAATCTGTTTGCCAGTATTTTATTGAAGATTCTTGTGTCGATGTTCATCACGGATTTTGGCCTGAAGTTTTTTTTTTTAGTTGAGTCTCTGCCTGATTTTGGTATCAGGATGATGTTGGTCTCATAAAATGAGTTAGGGAGGATTCCCTCCATTTGTATTGTTTGATAGTTTCAGAAGGAATGGAACCAGCTCCTCTTTGTACATCTGGTATAATTCGGCTGTGAACCTATCTGGACCTGGACTGTTTTTGGTTGGTAGGCTATTATTCAGCCCTTGTTATTGGTCTATTCAGGTTTTCAACTTCCTCCTGGTTCAGGCTTGGTAGAGCACAAGTATCTAGGAATTTATCAATTTCTTCCTGGTTTACTGGTTTATGTGAGTAGAGCTGCTTGTAGTAATCTCTGGTGGTAGTTTGCATTTCTGTGGGATCAGTGGTGATAACCCTTTTATTGTTTTTTTATTCCCTGATTCTTCTCCCTTTTCGTATTTATTAATCTGGCTAGTGGTCTATTTTGTTGATCTTTTCAAAGAAAAAAAAAAAGCTCCTGAATTCATTGATTTTTTGAAGGTCTTTTGTGTCTTTATCTCCTTCAGTTCTGCTTTAATCTTATTTCTTGTCTTCTGCTAGTTTTTGGTCTTCAGCATTTTCTTAGTGAATTTTTGGAAAACAAATGCACCCAAATAAAACCAGTTTTTATGTCCTCTTATACCTGAGAATAGTGTGGCAGGTAAATAAGAAATGTGTTGGTTTGTGGCATTAATATCATGTTCACTTAAGTAGCAAAAGTTGTGGTCATACCAGTCAGCCACATAGGTCTCAGGAGCCTTGTCGTTCCCTCCCTGCTTCATGTGCATTCATTGAAAAACCCAAAGGCATCTCCTAGCAAACTGTGTAAAACTGCAGGTAATAAAATATGTCTTACCATGTTGACATAATTAGCCATCTCAAACACTCTCTTTCTGATCTCATCTTGATTCTCATTGTACTTTTTAAACTGAAAGAAAATTTAAGAAAGGATATGTACATTGATAAAAATTAATATACTTGGAAGGTTAAAAAGGCAACTCCTCTTATGTTATTATTGATTTTAATTAAAGATTAGTTATTAAAGTTAATTTAAAGTTAGAATTAAATTGATACCTATTTGTCTAGCTACATTAAAGCACTTTGGGAGCGAATAAGATGTT